TTTATATATATATATATATATATATATATATATATATATATATATATATATATATATATATATGTATGTATTAATTTCTATTTATTATTTGAGTATGTACTTTGTTTATATGTATATTTTAATGTATGTTTATTTATGTATAATGGTCGCACCTGCCAACAATTGTCCTTGGCACCCAGGGTTAACTGGCAGAGAATGCCACATGGCATTAAGTCCGCCCTATGTACCCTTTAGCTTAAGGTGTTACATGCAAGTAATATAACGTAAGAGATATAAGACAGGCTTACATCTCTCTGCAATTTGATAGGCTTGGTACTCTTGTTCTATACGAGTATAGACTATGCCAGCATTTCAGTACCCCTCAATATATTGAGTGTCAACTTGGCATCGCTAAAGATACTTTCTCATAGTCCACATACGCCAGACACACCGGCAGATTCTCAGTCTCTTGTATAATCTACCGAAGGGTATGTATGTAAAGTGTAATTTAATCTTTGTTAATGTATTATTGTTAAAAAATTCAGTCAGGAGATGCAATAAATGTCAACCATTTCTCTGATGAATAGTCAAGACAAGAATGAGCTATCAAATATTCACTTCGAAATGATAAACGGGTAAGAATGAACTGTCAAAATATCTCTAGTTTTTTAACTATAAGGTGTCTTAAATTACTATCGTCATCATTTTCCCCTGGATTAAGCTATTGTCTTACTACCCGTGCGGTTAAAGAATGGGATTGAAAATGGCATCACCTATATATTCACCTCTCGCTCTGCAACTGTTGCTGTCTAAACTCACATCCACCGGTAAAGACTGCAAAAAAATGCTTTTTTCGGTACGTTACAAAACGTAAGTCCAATTTGTCGTTGGAATCCATGATAACAATACCCGTAAACTACAAAAAATATTCAGTCCGGTTTTGCTCACTTGTGAGCTATGACGCGTTCTGAGAATTTTCTCCACAATAGTTTAGTTGAAATACTTAATATTTTATACAAATATATTAACAGGAGTGATTTACACTAAATTTTATCCAAAAAGTCTAGATTTTATTAAAACAGATTTGTTAATAAGATAAAATAAATAGTTTTTAATTTATCTAAATCTAATATCGCCACATAAATATCGCCACATCCCACCCAGGAACGAAATCAGAGCGGATCGCTGTTTATTAACCATAGTTTTTAGCTCCAACAGTTACATAACATATATTGTGTTTTCATATCGTTATAGAAAACCATTTTCAGATATCGTTATCAGTTGTAATGGTTTGCTACTGAATGCGCAAATGACAACTAAAACTATAAAATCAGTGCAAAAATTTATTTTACGAATTACTTAGATTATTAAAGGTTTTTTAAGTTCATATATTCATTGAATAAAACTAAATTTACGGATTTTATCGCGTTTATTTCACTACTTTTACTTATTTTTAATTCCCGACGTTTCGGGTGCTTTACAGCAACCATGGTCACGGGGGGGACTGAGATGTTTGACGTCCCAATGTCATAGTTAGTCCGGCTACCTTCAGTTTTTGAATATTAAAGTCCGATTTACGCAAAACGAGCTTATAGTATCATGAAGTCTTGCAGTGGTATGCTTAGGTTTGGGTTTAATTTTGTTAATTATAGGATCCCAAGCAGGTGGCAGCACCCATCCATCTTCTCTATTGAAATTTGGATGTTTTTTAATTTCCTCTGATAACCGTTATATTTTGATTTCGATTTTATTAAGACCTATCCGTTGGGATACACCATTGAGGTCATTGAGCATAGTGCTAAGGTCCTCCAGCAATTCTGCCATAAGGACTATATCGTCGGCAAATCGAAGATGAGTGATGTACTCGCCATTGATGTTAATACCGTATCGTTTCCAGTCCAGTAACTTGAAAACGTCTTCCAACGCAGCGGTGGAGAGTTTCGGGGATATAACGTCACCCTGTCTTACACCTCTCTGCAGTTGGATAGGTTTCGAGCTCTGGTTCTGTACTCGGATAGCCATCGTAGCCCTACTGTACAAACACTTCAGCACTTCGATATACCGACAGTCAACTTGGCATCGCTGAAGGGACTGTAGCACCGCCCAAATTTTGACAGAATCAAAGGCTTTCCCATAGTCCACATACGCCAGGCAAAGTGGCAGATTGTACTCTTCGGTCTTCTGTACAATCTGCCGCAGGGTATGTATGTGGTCTATGGTACTGAAGCCTTTTCGGAAACTGGCTTGTTCGGGAGGCTGGAAGTCGTCGAGTCTGCGTGCGAGACGATTCGTAATGACTCTCGAAAACAGCACGTAGACGCGGCTCAGAAGGGAATCGGTCTGTAGTTCTTCAAGAGAGCGTTGTCGCCTTTTTTAAAGAACAAGACCACCGCACTTCTGCCCCACGCCTCCGGAGTAGTGCCACCATGGAGGACGGAATTGAAGAGCTTCTGAAGGACTTCAAGTACCGGTGTTCCACCCGCTTTCAGAAGCTCCGCTGTAATTCCATCCTCACCTGGGGCCCTGCCGTTTTTAAGGTGCTGGAGAGCCATTCTAATCTCGCTCAGACTGACGTCCGTGATATCATCGGAATAGTATCGGATAAGACTTGCTCTTGGATTACTCACACTCACGTTACTCACACTTGCTTGTGGCTCCAACGATGATGTGTACAGCTGCCCATAGAACCTGTCAATCTCACTCAAAATCTCAGGTGTCCCGGAAACGATGCTGCCACATTCAGTCTTCAGATTTGACAGTTGGCTCTTTCTGGCAGACAGAACTCTGGCAAAGACTTTGGAGCCCTGGTTCCGCTCGATCGCTTCTTTAATACGAGCAGTATTAAAGTTGCGTAAGTCTCGCCGCATGCATTTGGAGGTCTGTCTGTTCAGTTGCCTGTATGCTGTCAAATCTGTTGACGATTGCAGCCTCATCTCCCGTCTAACAGCCATGAGATTAAGAGTGTGATCGGAGAGTTTTTGTGTTCTTCTGCGGCGGGTCTTGCAGAACTTAGCTCCGACCGCATGGACAGTTTCCACGAGCTTGTCATTCATATCGTCCACTGCATTGCAATCTTCTAGGCACTGAAAGCGGTTACGTAACTCGAGCTGAAAGGTTTCGGGATTCTGGATTAGAGCACGAGGGAGACGGAGCATTGACTTCATTACACGAGACCTCTCCAACTTAATGTTTAGGTTCAGTGTGCCTCTAACCATTCAGTGAATGCTGCCGGTTTTCACCCTTGCGATCATTGAAACATCACTGAACAGTTGGCGTCTGGTCGTCATAATAAATCAATCTCATTTTTTGTCGAACCGTCGGGGCTCGACCAGGTCCACTTCCTGTGGGGCCGCTTCTGGAAGAAAGAGTTCATCATAAAGCGTCCCTCTTTCTCCATAAAGTCGGCCAGCTGCTGGCACCTTCGGTTTCGTTGCCCTACTCCGAATTTCCCTAACTTCAGCTCACCGTTTTCTCTTGCGCCTAGATTTGCGTTGAAGTCTCCCATCAACTCAGTGTAGTGAGTTTCGGAAGAATGCATGGCTCTGGAAATATCCTCATACATTTCCTCCACCTCCTCATCGGGATGTGCCGAGGTTAGTGCGTAAACCTGTATGACCTTCAGCTAATACCGTTTGGTGATTCTGAGTATCAGGTACGTGACCCCTGTCGACACACTCCCAATCTTTACAACGTTATTGACGAGAGACTTGTGAATGATAAATCCGATACCTCCTTGGGACAGATGGTCGCCCTGCCGGTGATAGAACGAGTTGCCGGACTCGAGGATTACCGTGTCCTCCCGCTCTCTTAGGACCTCGGATAATCCATATCCATATGCCAGCGCAACTTGTCTACCTCTTCTTCCAGCTCCAGTATCTTCTTCTCGTCAGTCCTCAGGGTGCGTGCGTTATATGTTTCCAGGTCGAGTCGTCGTAGGTGGTGGTCGCAACCGAACCTCCACCGGAGATTCTTAGCACCCCCTATTCCGCCGTTACCATGGTCGCCACCGCAGCCAGGAATAGCGGGGCCGCCGGGGACTGGGGGCCGTTTGTTTGCGTCGTTATTCATGGGGGGATATTTGCCATAGTTGCCACGTTTGGCGAGCAACCGCAGTTTTTTTTATTATATCACTGTTGTTATCAGGAAGATTCTGCTGCCCATCTCTCCTGCCTGTCTCCCTCTGTCGCCTCTTACGACACCCACGGGAAGATATGGGGTAGTGGATATTCTCAACCGCCACTACACGGCAATCAATCGGTCTCATGCCTACTGGTTATAAATGTTATTTTAAAATTAATATACCTATTTGTGTATACAAATTTTTTAAATATTTTCCCATCAATAGAAAATTGCCAATTATCCAAATAATATAAACTTATTTCGGTATACCACTATTAACGGGTTTTCGATTTTGGTACTGTGCATGTTGACGGTATATGGTCGATGAGTCGCCATTTCTAATCCCTGTCTTTATCCCTACGGACTATAGATATTTTATTGATTTTTTGTAAATTTTTTTAAAAATAAATTTTTTCGTTATATAACGACGAATTCAATCACTTCATGCACAATTATTATAATCACCTGTTATTTTCAGTATTATTTAAAAATAACTGTTTGTTATTTTATAATTAATGTTACGTATTTTATAAATACTGTACGTGAAATAAAAATTATCACCTCGTAACTTTTAATTTTAAACGTAACTTTCTGGTCACCTGGCATCTCCGCTAAGAGTAAAAGTATTCTGTGACCTGGCAACACTGTAAAAATAACAAAATTCTTTGACTTTAGTGATATCACTTGATTTTTTCGTAAATTTTGATAACGTTAACATTTCGATTTAAACTATTTACAATGACAATTATTGGCCTTACTTGAATGTCTATTTCAAGTTTTTTGTGTGAACTTTTTATATGCAGTGGATTTTTGTGATGGAAAGGCTTGCAAACAGTGGAAACGATATGAATCGCCGCGCCGGAGATTTTTTAAGACGTGTAAACAGACTTACTGACGGTCCAATGACTAGAAAAAAGTTGGTTATAATTCTTCTTATTGTTATATTCTTTATTCTTTACATAGGACCTTCGTTAACGAATTGGCTTTTTGAATCTGAGAGCTCAGCTGTGAGCAATCAAATAGTATGTCAAAGAAACTTTATAAATCCTTTTCAAGAAGCATTGGGAGACTATGACGCCTACCTAAGGCAAGAAACTGCTGCTACTTTGACATCTTCGAGACATAACTACGTGCCTTATGTTGGTAATGGGTTATTTGGTATTGCTTTAGAGCATGACTCCTTTTTGAATATTAAACATGGCAGAACACTGTCATTACCCGTGTACTATCATCCCTTGTACATTGTTGATGATTATGATATGAAAGAGGCTACCCTTGTTGACTACAAGAAAGGAATTGTCCATAGATTTCAATGTAGCAACACAGGATTACAAATATCATATCAATATTATGCACATCGGACTATACCTTCTCTCTTTGTTCAAGAGATTCTAGTCAACAATCCAACGAATTCTGGTAAAACATTACACCTATCAAATCCGAGGGTATCTGATTGGCCAACATCAGTCAAACAGATCGTAAAGTTACACCAGGGTGTTGATGCAAAAGAGTACGAGGTTGTTACCGGTATGATACCAATACCAGAGAGTGACAAGATCATAGCGGCATCTGTAGTTTGCAGAAAAATGGAGAATGTTGTTCAAGTTGATGCTCGTGATGGTACTGATATTATGATATTAACTACAATTCAATACAGCAAACCGATTAAACAGTCTGATTATGCAAAACATAAGGATATTGTAGAAAAAAAGGCTATTGATGAAATGGAGAAAGTGATTGCACTAACTGGAGATAGAACTGCTGTGAGGATGTTGAGAGAAAACCATGCTCGAGTTTGGCAAGGTTTGTGGTACACTGGCTTTTACATCTCCGATTCTAAAGCAGAAGGTGTTATCAATGGTGACCGTATTAATGCAACAATCTATGCTATTCTTTCACAAGTTAGGAGTTATGAACATGAGGAGAATATAAAGGCTGTAACAAGATCTGATATATTACGGTCATTAACTTATTCTGAGGGGTGTTATGAAGGCTTTTCAACTTTGGATGCACTTAATTTGTGGAAACCATTAAATAATCTGGCTAATTTACACGCTGTTGCTAGTGTTTGGCTGTTAACATTAGAGAAGCAAGGCTGCCATAATTTGCTGAAAGCTGGAGCCAGTGGTGTGAATCAGGCAATGATATTAAGTTTTGGTAGTTTACGTTTCAGCAATCAACACTTAGAGTATAATATACATCCATCGAAATTGCACAGAGACTTTCTATTCCGTCGCGTCAACTATGGCAATATGACACATGTAAATATCAGTGTGATACTACAAGAAGATAACAAAGCAGCTATTTTTGTAGCATTAGATAGGTCAGATAAAACATATTATGCCTGCGATGCTGGCTGCCTTGACTCCCCAGTGCAATTAGGTCCATATCGGAAATACTTCCCAGTGAAACTGACTGAGCCGTTGACAGCTATATTGTATATTACTGCTGATAAGCAGCATATGGAGGATTTACGGCATGCTATCCACGTAAGAGAGGTTATAGAAGCGCCAGCGCATGAGCACCATGTGATAGCATTACACAAACATGGCTATAGTTTGGGTGGACTAAATCCATTATTCTGGATTACAATAATTGTGCTGATAGTTATGTTCCACTTGTTCCTATGTAGGATAATCATGAATGAGTTTTGTGACAATAGTGTTAGCTACAAAAGGCTCTACAACAAAGCCTGAATTTATAATGGCTTTTAAAGAGTTTTGATAGCTTTACCATATAAATGGTTAACTAATTGCCAAAGGTGAGAGCACTAAGCATTGATAACCTCCCCTGTTATCAATAAAATTGAAATGAAGGAATAATTTAATTTAGTCGTCAATCATTGGTCAATCGCTTGTAACTTTTATAGCATTTGAAATCAGTATTGTAAATTTAATGTTTTAATTTAAAAGTATATTTTTAAGTACATTTAGACATTTGGTTGCATAGCTATTATTTCGGTTTTTACATATACATATACATAAACACTCACGCCTGTCACGCAGAGGGGTAGGCAGAGACTACAGACTTCCATTTGGCAAGATTCTGACACACCTCTCTCGCCTCCTTCACATCCATACACCTACGCATACATGCTCGTCGGTTAAGGATACTCCTAATTTGGCCCGTTTTCAATAAATTGCCAATTTGGTCGATAAATTTTCGCCTAGGACGTCCCTTTCCGACTCTGCCATTCACTTCTGCAACATAAATTTTCTTTGTCACTCTTTCCTCATTCATTCTTTCCACATGACCAAACCACCGAAGCATTCCTTTCTTAATCCTGGTCACAACATCATCTTGCAAACCACACTCTTCTCTTATTACACAATTTCTTATCCTGTCATTCAGATTCAGCCCTAACATAATCCTTAACGACCACATTTCTACTGCATTAATTCTACTCTCGTGCTTCTTCTGCCACACCCAACTTTCACTACCATACTTTAAAGTAGGGACCAACACAGCATTGTGAATTGCCATACGTGCCTTTTTCGACACATTTTGACTCTTCACAATAGAGTGTAGGACCCCATTTATTCTATTTCCTGCATTCACTCGTTGTTCTATATCCTTATCACATCTCCCATCCCTGCTAAATACGCAACCCAGATATACAAACTCATTTACTTGCTCGATCAACTCCCCTTCTATTCTTATTTCACATATCGTCTTACTTTCTTCTCTTTCAAAAACCATAACTTTCGTCTTACTTGCATTCACTTTCATACCCCTTTCTTTTAATGATCTGTTCATTGTTGTAACCATCATTTGCAGCTCGACCGCCGACGCAAGAATAACTTGATCATCGGCGTACAAAAGGCATTTGACGGTTAACTCACCCATTCTTAATCCGCATTCTTCAACTTACAAATTTTGCAAACAACTATCCATAAATAGGTTGAACAGCAACGGGGAAGCCGCACAGCCCTGTCTTGACACCTTTATGGATGCCAAACCAGTCAGAGTAGACCCCGTTGATCCTAACACAAGCACTAGAGTCCCTATAAAGCGACTCCAATGCCTGTATCAAGCCAGTGTTCAACCCAAATGAATTCAGTGTTTGCCATAGCAAATCCCTATCCACTCTGTCATAGGCCTTTTCCAAGTCCATGAACGCATAAAAAACCTTTTGGTTTTTGGCCAAAAACTTTTCCACGATCATGCGCATGGAAAAGATTTGATCTGTACATCCCATTCCCTTTCTAAAACCCGCTTGCACATCCCAAATTTTTTCATCAGTTTCTTTCATGACCCTTTCAATCAGTACCTTAGCATACAGTTTTCCCACAATGCTAAGAAGGCTGATGCCACGGTAGTTTTTACAGTCCTGCTGCGACCCTTTTCCTTTATATACTGGGACTATCACGGCTTTGCACCAGTCTACCGGTACCCGCTTCAGTCCCCAGCATAAATTAAACAAGGTGTGCAGCAGGCCTGCCTGCTTTCATGCTTTTCATTGCTTTCATTATTTCATATATACTTATCTCGCTACCTCTTTCCTCTTCTTTCGGAGTTTCTACTTCATTTATTTTTATTTTATTTAAATTTTAAAATATGTTTATTGTTTAACAAAGACAACATATTGCATATTTAATCTACAGAAGGATATGAAATGTCACTAAACATGTTTTTTCATTATTTATGGGGTGGTAATTTTTTTTTTTTTTTTTTTTTTTAATTTTTTTTTTTGTATTTGTTTTTTTCTTAAAAATGTCAACTTGAATTAGTGTTTTTTCAATGAGTATTATATAAATAATATAACATGCTGCAATAAGCAAGCAAACATTTTTGCTAATATAAATCTAATTTTGATCTCTATTGCCTTGCACCAATTCAAATATTGTATGATTCTGTAATTCTTCCATTTTCATTTAAGTTTTGCCATTTCTGTCCAACATATTTTTCGAAAATCTTCCTATATATATATATATATATATATATATATATATATATATATATATATATATATATATATATATATATGAGAGAGAGAGAGAGAGAGAGAGAGAGAGACTAGATGCTATATATTTTGTTTTGATAACTATTTATATAGGAAATTATGCAAATTTTGCCGACATAGTAAACAGATTCAGTCATACTCTATCCTCTATACTATATGATAGAGTAGGAAAATTATACTTTTTGTGATGTGAGTAAATATTTAAATAAAAACTCGGATACAATATCTTAATATATATAATTTACGTGTCACATTGTTTGTCCGCTATGGACTCCTAAACTACTTAACCGATTTTAATCAAATTTGAACACCAGTGCAGTTTGGTCCAACTTGAGAGATAGGTTTTATGTCCATGAGTGACCCATAATTTATTTGCGTATTTAAGGTTTTTTAATAGGACATGATATAGGGGGCCAATGATTTATATATTATATAGTTTAAGTAGAAATCGTCTGTTTTAAAACTACATGCATGTCTCTTTTATTTTTGATATTTCTACCACTTTTATCATGATTTATATAGTGAACGTTCACGCAAAATACGCACTTAGACGTGGAGTTGCGGTAACCAGCCCGTCGTAAACTAATTATGGAGAACGCTAAATCTACTAAAACACTATAGAGGACGAATATTCGGGCGAAAGTTCGTTAAAACTGTTTTTACCGAGCCGAATATTCGGCCGAACATTACTCGGCAGGATTACCTCGATACCTGACCAAATTATGTCCAAACTTGTTACCGTAAACCGCGCGGGATTAGCGCCGGACCCTGCCCCTCGCTCCCCGCCACACCTGACAGTTATTGCATCATCTAGTACTGAGCAAATTGCCGGCACGTGTGAAAATAGTCAAAACATAAGCATGTTTTGATTATTTTTGTGAGAAAAGTATTTCGTTGTGTTATTCTTAATGAAAAGTGATAGTTATATGATAAAAATGAGTTACAGGGGATATACTATTTGGACTTATTTTAGAGAAACTGACGACCAAAGTAAAGTGAACTGATTTTGTTTGATTCCAAATTTTTTTTATCAAGCTTTCTATTTGCTATAACTGGAAATAAATTACAGTGCCTCAAAAACATAACGCGATACAAGTAGATTTAACCCATAAACAAAATATACATTCAACAGTAAAATTATGAAAGACGTGGCATTATTTAATTACTTACATTTCAATACAGTGGACACTTAGTACCACTTCAACGAATGTTCGGCGATTCAGCCGAATATTCGGTAAAGCTGCCGAATATGCCGAATACCGAATATGAAACGAATGTTCGGCTCATCTCTAATAATTACTTAGAATTTTTTTCGTGTTCTTGTACCACAATGATTTTTTTATTGCGTTTAAATATATTATGTACATAATTTATAGGTGTTTTTCGCCGCCCCGACTTTTGACTCTTTATACCACGTTTTTATGAACTTGCTTTCATGAATGTGTGTTCGGGTCGACATGTGTCTCAGGTCAAATTAAGTAGGTAATTGATTTTAAACCATCTTTCCGAGTTAGGGATTTGAAATTTGAAAATTGCTCAGAATGGGATGACAATGTTAGAATATAAAATTAAAAAACATAAAATATGAACGTGGTGTATTAAAAATTTTAATACATTTTTAATTCACTTTATGATATTCGTTACTTTATAACTGCAGGTAAAAGTAAAGTAAAGTTACAGCCTATATACGTCCCACTGCTGGGCACAGGCCTCCCCTCATTTCTGAGGGGGTTTTAGGACAAGGAAGTGTCCGCCGCGCTGCCCCAATGCGTGTTGGCGAACTTCACATATCTTCGAAATATTTTTTTTTCTTATTCCTCAGACATGCAGGTTTCCTCACGATGTTTTCCTTCACCGCCGAGCACGTGGTAAATCAGCACTTAAAACTGCAATTAACAATTTCATTGGTGCCGGCGGGGTTCGAACCCGGGTTACTCGCGTTCTGTTATATTTACAGCGAGCGTTAACCATCTGAGCTAATACGGCTCTGCAGGTAGATAAAATAAATTGCCAGCCTACTGGATAATGTGAAAAGTTACTTTAAAAGTAGAGGTGTGAAAGAAAATTCACGATATTTTTTAAACTTAGTTATGTACATGTATACATTCTTTTTTTTTATTCAATCCCTTACTTAATATTGATCTCGATAATTTTGTAAATATATAAGCAGCGCTTACCGCACAAATGATTTGGACACTTGTGACAAAAACATTACTAATTGTTCTTTGATATATAAATATGTATGAACTGGACCTTGGAGTAAAGTAGTGCTTTTGCTTGAACTCTCATTAGCAAAAGTTAGCTCTCATCTTACAGTATTCGTAAAAAAAGTCCACTGTTGGGCGTGGGTCTCACATCTTTAGAATAGAAGTGATAGTACAAAACGACGATTAAGGTAGAATTTGCCTTCATCGTCGTTTTGTACTATCAAGGTACTAAATGGCTTGCACCTTTAATGTTGCTACCCGTCGCCAGAAATATTCCGTTCCATTAACGTGGGTAATACAGTTCAATTTAGGATTATTAATTTTTCTGAGCAAGTCCTGGTCAAAATGGCAATTTCACGTCATTAGAAGCGTAATTCCAGCTCTGGGCATGTGGGCTATTCAAGGGATGAATGATTTTCTATTCACCCCATCGTCCAATTCGTATATTTGAAAGGGTTGCCCCCTTTTCCGTTAGTACAATATTATTTTAGCATTTCCCTTACGGCATCTGTCGTTATTTTCTATT